CAAAACATATATATCGGGAAAGTAGTGCTACTGAAACCTGACTGAACTTTTCTATTTCAGCGTGAGCAAAAGGTTTGGACATTTAGCATTTTTCAAAGCTCCTGTCAGGAGAATTTTAGAACTGAGTTCGATATTTAAAACTCACGCTCATCATTACTTTCTAACCCTGGCCTACAGCACTTGGCTCTCTGACATTTGAGACGCGCAGATGGGACGATCAAAATTCAGTTTCCACATTAAATCATTCAGATCATTTTGAAAACTTCACAAAAGCCAGATCAGCATAGAACACGTGGCGCTGACAAGTGGAAGTGCTGATGAACACGTTCTCAGAAGTACATGGGTTGAGAAGCAGGACTTTATCATATCTACTTTACATTTTAATTTTTTTATTGCGTTGTTTTTCCACAGGAATCTGGAAAGGTGTTATTATAAAAAAAAACAATCATATTTGGATTTTAGCAGGATTAAAATATGTCTTTAAAGCACAACGCGATTAGAATATTATTTTCATATGGATTAAAAAGAAAATGTAACAAAATGATGATGTCTTTTTGTCCTCTGACAGCCGACTTTAACATTTCTACTAATTGACCAAAAAGCATGTTTAAAAACCTACAAATATGGTTTAATATAATGACACCAATATAATATACAGGGGAATATGATCAGACTGTAGCAAACTGCATCAGAGATGACCTTTAACCTTCTTCAAAAAATCATGTCCCACTAACATACTTATCGTTTTATTTTATTTTATTAATGTTTTGTTATCAAATAATATTATTATGACGAGTTATATTGATACGTATAACACGGACTAACTCGACATCTATGTAGTTTACTCGACACATTTGTGAATTTGTTGAATAATTGGAAAAGCCACCGTCAGAGTAAACGTCATTTAACAAAATATGCTCAAACATCCAAAAAAATGTTTTAAAAAAGGGAAAATTCTGTTTCATAGACTGTTAAGAATTTTCAAACTGAGGCCTTAAAATAGGAAGTTGGTCAGTAAAAAAATCTTTGAATTTCCCTGAAGGGTACGGGACAAATACTGCGATAAAACTGAAAACAAAATGCAAACTAAAACTAAAACTTCA